GAGGGCCTACAGTACTTCTTGATACATGTGATTTTTATTTAATTACAACCTTGAACTAAGCTAGAGAAGAGAAAAATAAAAGCTGAAAATCTCTGGCATCTTCAAAACTATTTTTAACTTGATATGTATAGCAATGAGCCTCATTTTGTGGTCTACTTTCTCTTAAAATAAGGAATTACAGAGTTCTTTTAGGTATAAACTAACTGATTTAGGAAAATCAAAGATAGTAACATTGATGGAGTGTTTCTAAGATTTGCAAAGTTTCACATATTATCTCATTTGATTCTCCCAATCACCCTATGAGGTAGTTGATACCCATTTTACAGATGAGGAGACCAAGTTGTTTAAATACCTTGCCCTCAGATAATAAGTTTCTGAGGTGAGATTTGGACCTAGGGTCTTCCTGCCTCCACAGATAAGTATGTTTTCTCTTCCATTACTTCCTGGAGGTTATGAATTGGTAAAGAAGTAAATTTAGGTCCTCTCTTTCAAGACTTTTTCCTTTGAGAAGAATCAGATCATAGAGAGGCAGAGGACGGTGCGATGGGAAAAGCACTGTAGACTTGGAATTGGAATTTCAAATCTTGGGACTGCTACTTATTAAATGTGACCTTGGGCAAGTCATTTTCCTCTATGGGACTCAGTTTTCTCATCTGTAAAATGAAGGGTTGAAGCAGATCACCTCTATAATCCATTCCAGTTCTAAGTCAATGATCCTATGACGGCCATAACTGGAATCTGGAATGGTGTAATTCAGCAAATCCTAGAAAGTTAACTCCTTCCATTAATAAATGAGGAAACAATGCCCTGTGAGGGTAAGTAGGTGAGCCTGGATGAGAAATTGGGCCCACTGATTGCCACTTCCAATAGTCAATGTCAATGACTGGTCATTGTTCTAAAAGAATGGCCCCCAAATGGGGATCTAATCTGGGGCCACTTAACCTATCTCGCATGACCCCAATTCCTCTGGGTTGGGAAATTTCCATTCTCAAAGGCTACAGTTTTGTTTATGTCCACAGATTTTGTATATGAAACCCATTCCCCAGACAGATTTATTTGTAGTATTACTTACTGATCCCCTCTATGATAGAACTATGCAACAAGGTCTAATCTCAACTCTTTGAACCTTGATGTGGCATTGAATTATGCATTTTTCATGTATTCTCTGCAAAGGTTTTGCAGCAGGAATCATGGTCTTGATTGATTCGAAAGCTTATTGAGTTCCTATTCTACACAGGGCACTGAGCACTGGGCTTGGAACAAGGAAGACTCATCTTCATGAGTTTAAATCTGGCCTCAGACACTTACTAGCTATGTGACCTTGGTCAAGTCACTTAACCGTGTTTGCCTCAGTTTCCCCATCTGTTAAATGAGCTAGAGAAGGACATGACAAATCACTCCAGTATCTTTGTGACCACATTTGGGGTTTTCTTGGCAAAGAACTGGACACCACTAAAATGACTGAACATTATTGTTATTATTATAGTGGAAAAGGTACTGACTTTGGGACCAGAGGACCTGAGTCTAGATCTGAGTTCTGCCACCTACTACCTGGGTGACCTTGGGCAAATTCAATTAACCTCCTTGGCCCTTTTTTCTCATCTGTAAAGTGAGGAGGAAAGTATAGTAAATGATCTCAAAGGAAGTGGTCTTGTTGAGGTGTGAGAGATTTAGGTCCCTCAAAGACTGGAGTATAGGACAGGGTCATCTGGAATGAATTCACAGACTCAGGCATTCTTTAAGTCAAAATGGCAAAGATTTATTGTTACGCTATACAGCAGGCAGAGGTCCTTAAGGAATTCTTCCATGGTGGGCAGAGCTCCCAAGGGAACTTGCAACCTAACAGGAATGATTCTAAAGCTTATATAGGAAAAGTAGTGGATTATGTGCCAAGTATGCTAATTAGGTCATAACATACAACTACATCATTCACTACTGGAAACCGAGGGGAGGAGGGGGGAGAGAGGGTTCCTAAAGAGTATATTTTTGGTCTGTTATGTCTGTAACAAGATAGTTTCAGGAACTGATGTCTATAACTTGACCTCTGGATCATATGATAACTAGGCATCAGTACATGATAGTTTTGTTGATACAAAATAGTACAAAGGGAAATTCTATAGAGGTCAGTTTGTTCTTGTAACAGGGAGAGCTAGTTTGCCTCACTGGGCCCACTCTTGAGTCACTGCCAGGGATTGGGTCTTTGGGCTGGAGGGAAACTGTCAGGGATAGTGTTTCTGAGGCTACGGAGAAATATCTTGGAAGAGGGGTCCAAGTACAAGCACCCCAGCACCCCATCAATCTCCAAACCTTTTTGATCATATTCACCTTTATCAGTAAAACATTTTTGAGCATGTACCCCTAATGTGTATACTTAGTTATAAATTATATGTATAACCTTCAATAATGATGTATATTACAAAGCTTACCCCAAAATTGAAATTTAAAAGAGGAGAAGATAAACATGAAATAACATTTTATATTGGTCAGTAAGGAGGCATTGGAGTTTCCTGAAAAAGGCACCGACATGATCAGGCTTGCATTTTAGGGATCTCATTGCAGCATCCGGGTATGGAGAATGGAATGAAGGGGAGAGCTTGAGGCAGGAAGACCAAGAGACACACTACTCAATGGTCCAGGATGAGGGTTCCAGATGGGGCAGTGGCTACATGAGCATCAAGGTGATAGATAAGAGATGAAGGGGAGGGAGAACAAAGATTTGGCAACTGATTGGATGTATCCGGTGTGAGGGGATGAGGAGTGGATGATGACACAGATGTTGGGCTGAAATTAACAACCAAAAAGGCTCACAGGATGGCAGTGCCCCAAACCAAGAGAGGGAAGTTTAGAAGAGGAATAGATTTGAGCAGATACACTGTGATAACATCAAAGATACATATTGCATCCCATCGATCCTTGCTTATCCTGTGTACTATACTCTGTAGCAGTCAAAATGAAAAAGCAAATCCTTCCAGGGGGTGCCTGTGGTGGGCGTAGGGATCTGAGACAGGAATTATGATTTTTACATTAATTGATAATGATACATGTAATGGATATACTGATATTTAGTTTTCTCAAGAGCTGCCTCTCTGGCTCGGGCTTCAGAGTTCACAATGCAGCTTGAACACAAGCTCACAAACACTGGACCTTGAGTGAAGTGAATCAAAAATAGTGGAACCCGTTCCCATCACAGAACTCTGGTTCTGTGCCCTAGGGAGGTGGTCACGACCCCCCAAAGATGACTCCAGAATCATATTGTGGGATTTGTGTTTCTAGAGGGAAAACACTGAACGATTGTTTGCAATCCACCTTCCCCACCCCCTCCTTACCCAGCTGTGATTTCAATATATAACCTGTGCTTTTACTTCAGCTAGGAGAGCATTCCTCACTGTGAAATTGATTGATTAAACTACTCGATTACTGGCACTCTTGCTCTAGGCCTGCTTTGTGAGGCTCTGAGCATTCTCAGGTTAGAGACTGGCTCAGTAAAAATCCTCTTAACAGATCAGACCCTCCTCTTGGGATCACACAAACCCATTGCCCTGGGACTGAAAGGTAATCTAAAGCTCATCTAAGTCCAATGTACCATTTTGCAGGGAAGGAAACTGAGACTCAGAGGTGAAGTCACTTGCCCAAGGTCACTGAGAAAGCAAGAAGTAGAACAAGGTCTTGGACTCACTTCCTTTGCTTTCTAATCCAGTGCTCTCTAACCTGAGAAGAAAGGAAAAACCCTCAATAGTGAGAAACCAAGTATTTAAAATGAGAAAAAGAATCTAGCACAGCAGTTTCTGCAAAACATTTATTAGAAAACTAAAGTGAATATGGCAACAAAACTTAAATAGCAAGAAACGATTACAATAACAAATCGAGTTTGTCTCCAAGGGAAGGAAGCCACGTGGAAAATGTCTAGACTAGGGTGTGATCAACAACTAATTCTGGGCCAAGGAAGATTAGTGCTAGGCCTTCCTGCTTCCTAGGGCAGCTCCCTCACAGCACCCAGGGGTTCAAAGCTTCGTTGTGTACCTTGTCTTGTTTTATTCCCTAAGTTTAAAAGAAAAAACAAAAACAAAACAAACAAAAAAAAAAACTCAGCCAAGGGTCAATTTGAAGCAGGCTGAAAAACTGATTCCTTTCCGTGATTAAAGCTCGAAATAATTTCCCCTCCTTCCCTAAAGGACAAATGGAGAGCAAATTGGAGGGAATCTCCTGAGAATATCTCTTGGCTCCTGTTAAAACTGATAAACACACTCTAAAAGGAGAGGCAAGGGATTCTCCTATCCCTAGGGGAGAGGGAGGAGAGGGAGAGAAAGGGAAGCCAGTGAGAAGACAGAAGAGAGAGAGGAGGGAGGAAACAAAGGAGGGGAGAGGAAGAAAAAAGGAAAGGGGAGAAGAGAAAAAAGAGAAGTGAGAGAGGAGAAGGGGAAGAGGATGGGAGAAGAGAGAGGAAAGGAGAGAGAAGTGAGAGAGGAAGAGAAGAGGAAAAAGAGAGAGGATGGGAGAGAAAGAAGAGAGGAAGGAAGAGAGAGGAAGGCAAGAAAGAGGAGGGGAGAGGAAAAGGGAATAGGAGAAAGAGGGAGAAAAGAGAGGGAAAGAGGAGAGAGAGAGAGGAAAAGAGAAGAAAAAGAAGAGAAGAGCAAGGGAGAGAAGGTGACACAGGAAAGGAAAGAGACAGGAAGAAGGAGGAGAGTGAGATAGAGAGATACGGAGAGGGAGAAGATAACCAAAGACTTGTCAAAAAGGTGTTTGAGAATTAAATAAATCCAAGTTCCATTCATTCTATTTTGTGGGCATTTCTCCTGAGGCTCTAAAGGTCTTCTTCAAAACTGTGAACAAGTCAGACCCCTCTATGTCCTAGTTTTTGAATTAAGTGTTTGGGTTTGGGCTGACTCATAAGAGGGTGTAAAGTGGGGGAAGGGACAGAAGAACAAGGGCAGGGGTTGGGCAGTTAAGAGGCAATGGTATAAAACATCAGTTAATCTTAGCTTCTGACAGATGAAGACATGTTTAAGTACAATTTTAAAAACAACACCATTTTATTAAAATGTAAAAGTACGATGCGCTGGCTGACAAATCTATAGCTTGCTAACGCTACAAAAACACATCATGGACAACATGTTGAAATGGTCACGTTGATTCCGAGGTTTCCATTATCGGCAAAGAGATGTGCTATAGCTGTATCAAAAACAAGGCAGTCGCTGTTCAAGATGGCAGCAGCCACCCCATCATGGATGGAACGGGGAGTGGCTTCCCAGGTCAGTCTCCGCCGGTTGCCATTCAGTTCCAGTCGATAAGCAAAGTTCTCTGCTTGCTTCCGGGTCCCAATGAGCAGCACGATGGCAAAGAACTGTTGGTGGCCCTCGTATTTCTCTTGCTTCTCCAGCACCAGCATGAAGTGATGGCCGAAGCAGGACTGCATCATCACCCAATCGACAGCCCCAGGCAAGTTAATGTCTGTAGCGAGGAAGACAATGTCTTCCCCCTGAAGGGTGGTGATGCTCTTGTGAGCGTGCATGAGGTGGGACATCACGGCTTCCAGCGAGCCCTGCCATTTACAAGAGGCACCAGGGCAAGGACAGGAGTATGGGCGGTATTCACAGACGTCTTCATGTTCCGGCTTTTCCGTATGGTGAAGAGTCAAGGAACATCCCGTGGTGGCGTACTAGAAAGAGACAGACACACGCGTGAGCACTTCAGCATTGTCCAGATTTCTACTTTGGCATTTCTACGTGGAAGTTGGGAGTGTGATACGGAAACTGTCCCATTCTTTTTACTTGTATTCCCAGCATCCAGCACAGGACCTAGCACACGGTAGGTGCTTAATACTTGTTAGGTGGTTGATATGAGGGCATCCCTGTGGTGAAGTGGAAAGAGCACTGGATTTGTAACCAGAAGGCCCGAGTTCAAATCCTAACTTTGCTCCTTACTATTTTTGTGAGGGAGGGAGATGAGGGAGATGAGGGAGATGAGGGAGAGAGAAATCTTCATTATCCCAAGCTGTGACCAAATGAGACCAGTAGTTCCTGCTCCTGAAAGTCTTAAATTAATGGTGAATGCTACAAAATTGAATTTGGATTGATCCTCTATGCTTGATGCTGCTAACAATTTGTTAATAAATGTCAGATATCACAGGAGGATACTAGGCCAATGAAAACCCAGAGGAATATAATGGCTGATCTTGGCTTCAGAAGAAAAAGATGAAAACAACCCTCTCTCGTTGGAAAGGAGGTGGGGGACTACAGATGCAGAATGAGAAATATGCTTCCTGTTATAGTTAGTTTTGTTTTGCTTAACTCTTCTTTTTTTTGTTCTAAGTGGTGGTGATAGTAACAAATGACAGCAATGTTTTTGGAACCATTAACGTTTTTGAAGTAATACCATGCTATAAGTTGTCCACTACCAAATACTACCCCATATAAGAATGCCACCATTAATACTTGTTACTTATAAATACTAAGCAAATATAGACTAAAAATTCAATTCAATAAACACTTATCAGATATGCAAGGCTCTGTTGTAAGCAAAGGAGACACAAAGACAAATAAGAAAGTATCTGCCCTTAAGAAACTTACACTCTAATGGGAGTGGGGGTGGATAATACATACTGATAAATAACCCTAACACCAAGCAGATGTGCTAAGTACAAAGGAATGGGGTTCCAAACAGTTATGAGAAATCTGAGGTGGGGAAATTACAAGAATGATTCTGAGTCCTTTGTGATCACTAGAATATCCAGGAACCCGGGTCCCTTTTCATTTCAAAGTAGGTTTTGAGCACTTAGCCCCTTGGGCATGAGGAAAAGAGATGAGCTGATTGATGCCCCTTCCTGGATTTGTCTCTGTTGTAGCCTAAGAGACCCCAAACACCCCTTAGAATACTCATCCTTCTCTATCATTCCCAGTCCTCCAGCTCCTCACCAAAAACCTCCCGGACAGAAAAGGGTAGAGTTGCTTTTAGGGGGTGTATATAACCCACACATGCACATGCTCTCCATGAAAAGCATCATTGTGCTGGCAAGGGGAGAAATGAGCTCTTAATTTCATCACCACATTCACTGAGTGAGTGCCTCTGATGTACATTTGTTCAGTTCAGTAGTTTTTTCAGTCATGTCCAACTTTTCGTGAACCCATTTAAGGTTTTATCGGCTGGAGCAGTTTGCTATTTCTTTCTCCAGTTCATCTGATAGATGAAGAAACTGAGGTAAATAGAGTTAAATGACTTGCCCAGGGTCACACAGTAAGTATCTAAGGCCAGATTTTAGCTCAAGTTTTCCTGACTCCAGGCCTGGCACTCTATTCTTTGCTCCACCTAGCTCCTCATCTGATGTACACACACACACACACACACACACACACACACACACACACAAACGTAACCAATTGGCAAACATTTATTAAGCACCTACTATGTGGAACAGAGGCACTGGGTTTAGGAACAGGAATACAAAGGGGAGAGGTAATTGGTCCCGATCCTCAGAGGTTATGTCCTAATGGGAAAGGAAGAGACACGTGTGTAAGGTAATTGACTAGCTGGCATGGAATAAAAAAATTCACATAGAAGGTAGCACTTGAGCATTAAGCCATCTATCGGTTCTCAGAGGCAGAGATGACGAGGGAATATATCCAGGGCACGGGAGAAAGCTACAACAAAGGTAATGAAGTAAGCTGGAATCAGGCTGACCTAGTCTAAGGCCCAGAACTACTTTAATCCAGTTCACATACAAGTCCAGATATCACCCCATGATGTCGCTGATGCTCTTTGAAAACTAAAGATGAACAACCAACCAGCCCGGACCACAGTCAATCAGTTCAACCAGCATTAATGAAGTACTTGCTACGTGCCAGGCACCCCGCTGGCAATCCAAAGAAGGGCAAAACCAATGCCTGACCTTAAGGAGCTTCCACTCTGACGGGGCAGACCACATGTACTTAGCTAGGTTAATACATACATACACTACAGAAACAGTAGATGGAAGAGAAGCTCAGATGGGAAGATATTAGGGGCTGGGAGGGACCAACAGAAGGTCCTACCCACAGAAGGTAGGATCTGAGCCAAGTCTTAAAGGAAGCTATGGAAAATAAAACCAGGGGTAAGGAAGGAGAGCATTCTAGGCATGGTGGACAGCCTGACACGGCGCTGTGATATGGAGGATATGGAGAGGGGATACTGGGATATAGAAGGCATGAAGATGCGCTGTGGAGGGTTCTGTTTAAGGAGTTCCAAATGGGCCAGTGCTGCTGGACTGCAGAGTGTGTAGAGCATAAGAAGACTAGAAAGGAAGAAAGGGGCCAGGCTATGAAGAGCTTTAAATGTCCAACAATGGACTTTCTACTTTCTCCAGGATCAAATATAGAGTCAGTGGGATTTGGGGTCATGCTTTAACAAAACCACTTTGGCAGCTGAGTGGAGGACAAACTGGAGCAGGAAGAGACTCAAAGCAGAGAGACTAGTGCAAAGACAATTGCAACAGTCCAGGTGAAAGGTGATGAGGGCCTGAACCAGGGCAGTGGTTGTAGGAATAGAGAGAAAGGAGCATAGAGGAGACAGATGTTGGGAAAGTAGGAATGACCAGATCTGGCCAAGGATTGGATAAGTGGAGTTGAGTGGGAGTGAGGAGCTGAGGATGCCATTGGGGCTGGGAACCTGGGTGAGGGAGAGGATGATGGTGCTCTTCACTGCAAAGGGGGAGTCTGGAGGAGGGGAAGGGCTTTGGAGAAAAAGAGAATGACGACAGGAAACAGACATGTCTCATCCTCAAGGAATTCAAGTCCTCAGGTAGAGTAGGATGGCTTACACAATATACACCTTCCTCCCCAATTCATGTTTCTCCTGATTACAAAATTGATTATGATCTTCAGATGACTTTTCCAAACACCACTCCCTCCCCTAGAAAATATTCTGCGACTCCTACATTCCTTTTCCAGTTCTGTTCTTTAAAAAGCTGGGTGAAAGAAACAAAGACCGTGGCAGGTCTGTCCCCCAATGAGTCAACCTTGTCATCACATCAAGATATTCAAACTTATCCTGAGAAAGATGCAAACCTTGGAGAGGGAGGGACTAGGAGTAGGGAAGGGGGAAGGAGCAGGGGACAGAAGAGAGGAGGGGGGGGTTGGAGAAGAGAGAGGGGCAGAGACACACACACACACACACAGAAAGACACAGAGGAGAGAAAGTGTGTGTGTGTAGGGAATCTTGTTCTCTACAACCTTCAGAGAGTTAAAAAAAAAAAACCCACCACCACCTGGTTAAAAAGGGCACATGATTCAGGACATTGCCTGGCAGGTTCTTTGGCTGACATAATTCCTCCAGTTTCATTGGAAAGATTTTTCTAAATAGGCTGATTACTCCCAACCAACCAGGAAGAATCATGGGAAGGAGTTGTCTTTTGGCTGATCTAGAAAGAAGGTGGTGGTTGTTATTTTTCTTTCTCCCTCCCCTGCCTGAAACCTACAAACTATTTGTTGATTTGTTTTTAAAACATGTCATTTATTAACACCAAACCCAGATTCTCCCCTTGTGCAAGCCTGTATGAGTAACTACACATGAATTCTGATTCCCTCTTAAAAAATCAATGGAATAAAAATGGGAAAAGGACCTACATGTACAAAAACATTCACAGTAGCTCTTTCTGTGGTGGCAAAGAATCGGAAATTGAGGGGATGCCCTTCAACTGGGGAATGGCTGAACAAGTTGTGGCATATGAATGTAACGGGATACTGTTGTGCTATAAGAAATGATGAGCAGGCTGACTTCAGAAAAACCTGGAAAGACTTGTATGGACCGATACTGAGTGAAGTGAGTAGAACCAGGAGAACGCTGTACACAGTAATGTGCAGATGACTAACTTTGAGAGACTTAGCTCTTCTTAGCAATGCGAGGATCTAAGACATCTCCAAAAGTCTCATGATGGAAAATGCTATCGGTACAAGTTCGTTCTGCCTTTTAACCCAAAACAACTGGGAAGAGTTTGCCCTTACAATGCTCCACAGGCTGCTGGATAACACTTTAAGATGCCAGGTGGGAGAAAAGACATTTAATTTGAAGCATAAATAACCAGGCTGATGAGGGGAGTAGAAAGAAGCCACACCACCTTAGGAACAGCTGACACAAGTGAGGACGTGCTTGTCTGAACCACCACAGACCACAGTGGTCTCCAGATATCTGAAGGGCTGTCAGAGTGGGCAGTGTGATAGAGGGAAAAGAATATTGGCTCTGGAGTCGGAGGGCCTGGGTTCAAATTTAGACAAATCATTTCATTTCCGTGGAGCTCCACGTCCTCATTTGTAAAATGAGGGGATTGGATGAGATGGCCTCTGACAAAAAGGCAAATTTCACCTCAACATATGGCAAAAGTTTCCTAACAATCCGGAAGTAAAATGTGGTGCATTAAAATGAGTACTGGCCTGGAGTCAGCAAGGTCTGAGTTCAAATCCTACCTCAGACACTTACTAGCTGCCTGACCCTGGGCAAGTCACTTAGCCTTTCTTTGCCTCAGTTTGCTCAACTGTAAAATGGGTGGATAATAACAGTACCTACCTCATGAGAGTTGTTGTTAAGATCAAATGAGATGAAAATTGTAAAACTCTTAGCACAATGCCAGGCACACAGTAAGTGATTAATAAATACTTATTTCCTTCCTTCCTTCAGGACTAGAGGCTGAGAGGCAGCTTGGCACAGCAGAGGAAGAGAGCCTCGATGTCAGGAAAACCTGGGTTCAAATCCCACCTTTGGCTCATGCTGGCTGCGTGACCCTGGGCTAATCACTTAAACCTTCAGAGTCCTGGGCAATTTTCTAAGACAAATCTTAGAAACTCAGCAGGGAAAGTGCCAATCTACACTGGTAGAGGGGCTCCTCAGATCAATTAAATCGTGGGGCTCCAGCCTGTCCTGATCAGACCTGTCCCTGAAAGGCTGCAGGGCAGGAACTACAAGGTAACCACGGCTTAGGATCTGAATGCAGATTGGGCCAGATGGTCTCTAGCTCCTTCCAGCTCTAAATCTATGAACCAGATTTGGTGTCAGACAACGAGGCTCAAACCCTGGCTCTGCCACTTGCCACCTGTGTGACTTTGGTCAAGGTACAAGCCTCCCTGAGACTCAGTCTCCTCATCTGTAAAATGAGGGGGTTAGACCAGATGGCCACTCAGGTTCCTTCCATAGGCCTATGAACTGCTCCCAGGGATCCCATTATACCAGGCTTCTGATTCTTGCTACTATTAACAGTATTTCAGGAGCCCATTAAAAAAGACAAGGAGTATTTTTATAATACAAAAATTCTTGGTTCTCTCCCTGAGTTAACAGTTAACAAGGGTTCCTAGTTGTCTAGGTCTTTCCTTTCTTGTTATTGTCCAGGTAGGGGATTTATTTAGATATGGAGGTTAGGAGAACCCGGCTTCCATGTAACCTTGACAACAGCACCTTTTCCAGAGGGACCAGGCACAATGGAAGCCAAGCTGTTTGGCAGGGCCCCTGAATTGCTGTTTGAAGGGAAGGCCGTTCCAGAGCCTCCTGGCCTAACTGGGGCTCTCTGTTCCAGGCTTTCTGGTGTTGCTTGGAGTATCTTTTAATTGGCTGGCAAGGAGAATAACATGAAGCATCTGGGTGGCAACAAGAATCTGCAAAATGCTCTTGCACCCACTATGTCATTTCATCCTATCTACAGGAGGCAGGGCTCGTATTACTGACCTCATCTTATGTGTGCAGAAGAGGGAGAGGTTAAGTGCTTAGCCCCAAGGTACATAACCACCAAATGGTGGCCCCCTGAACAGAGCTCAGATCTTCTTACGTCCTCTAGTGCTCTCCCCAGCCCCATCCCTGCTGCTCCTCCTCAATCACAGAAATGAAGTTTTTCAAATATTTTAAATTTGGGAGAAAGTTTAAAAAGAACCATTTAGATTTTCATTCTGATTGTGAGTTCTAGCTCAAAATTAAACATAACCAGGAAGGTTTCCAATAAGATTAAATTTCAACTGGCACTCCTGATTGTCCACCCCCCCTCCCCTTTAGCTTATAAAAACTCAAAACAACCTCTTTTTTTTTTTTTTCCTCTTATTGGCTTAGGATGGGAGTAGGTGAAGAATCAGGTGACACCAGCTAGGATTTTTGTTCAAGTGTTTTGGCCAATTTCATTGGGACAGGGAGCTCCCTCTACCAATGCCAATTAGCACCCCTCCTGAAATTTCAATTTAGAGTCTTAGGAAGCTGCCTAGTGCACTAGCCTAAAGTCAGGACGGGGCTTGGTCAGCATTACCCAAGTCAGTATGGATCTCAGGCAAGAGAGGAACCCAGGTCAACCCGATTCTGAGGTCAGCTTCCTTTCCACTAAACAATACAATCTCTAGCAGCTAGGTCACTGGTACAAAACCAATACATTTAAATAAATAATCAAGTATTTATTAAGGACCTACTCACTGTTAGATGATGGATATGCAGATTAAAAAGAAGGAAACCATGCCTACTATGGAGGAATAAGGTATACTCACTTATTAACGTTCAGTCAGAGAATATAAGAGCTGGCCTCAGGGAGCTTTAACTCCACCTCTGATGGTTGTTAGCTGTGTGACCTTGGACAAGTGACTTGTCCACTCTGTGCCTCAGTTTCCTCATGTACAATGGAGATAATACTTTTCAGGGTTGTTGTATGGCTCAAATGAGTTGTAAAGTACTTTACAAAGCCTGAAGTGCCATAAATCTGGCTTCAAACCTGGGTTCTGACATTTATATTCTAAATAGGCAGTCAGTCTTCTTCTGGACTAAATGTCCCTGTCTGTAAAATGAGGTAACTGTTCGAGATCAGAGATGGCCACATGTCGTCCCCCCCCGCAACACTTCTGAGTGTTACCTGAACCAGATTAAAATGTAAACTCTGTATGTTTAGTGGCCCTGTTTGTAGTTGAGTTTGACCCTACTAGTCTAGATGACCTTCCAAGGTCCATTCTAACAGTAACTCTCAACCTAAATGCTTGAGGGTTGGATAAAACATAGCTTAAAACAATCTTTAAGAAAAAAGGGCTTATGTTTAACCTGACTCCCCTATTCTCCTCCCAAATCCCAAGGTCACACCTCTTACCCTTGTCCTAGGCAAGACTATTTCATGTTAACTGCATGGCATCCTGGAAACAACCCTGAGAAATGGACATGAGAGGACCTCTTCATATCCTGGCACTGTTCTCTATTACCCATCTGTCCCTGGCCAAGTCTCTTCACTTGTCTGGGTCTCGGTTCCTCCTCTGTAAAGTGAGAACACTTGGTCTAGATCAGTTCTTCTTAAACTGTGGCTCTCAACCCCACACGAGGTCATGAAACAATGTGGGGTTCGTGAAAAACTTGGCAACAATAAAAGGTTTTTAAATGGGCAACGACCAAAAATAAATTCAAACTCAAACACGTAATGAATCCGAGCCGTTTGTGGCAGCCTGGGACTTCACTGCAGCCTTGGTTCTGAACACACCACGTGGGCACTTTATACTGCATGTGCAGTCATACCACTCAACGCCAACAAATGCAGCCAGAAACACCTTGGCTCAGATTCGAGACTATTGTGTTTAATAAATCATAAAATTATATGTATACTAAAGAATTATTTTAAAATATTTCTTTATGATTTATTATCTGTAAATGTTTCATATACCTATATGCACTGGGTCACGCAAAAATTTCTCAGGCAAAAAGGGGTCATGAGTGGAAAAAGTTTAAGAAGCATTGGTCTAGTTGGCCTTGAAGGCCCCTTTCCATCTCAACAGCAATGCAAGCTTACGAATGTCTCCCTTCATATATGGAGCCTCCTGTAAGGAGTCATGTATGTGGAGTTTCCATCTGGGCCAAAGGCTCTCCTCATCTCCCCAAACGGAAGAGAAAACACAGGCTTTTAAGACACTGGGTTATTCTACTCACTCGGATACCATGAAGTACTGTTTGTTTTAAAAGAATCTCAGCTGAAGGCTTGGGACAGCTTCAGGGCAACACCTGAGAAGTAGTTATTAAGTGATAAATACAGATGAACATTGTAGAAGAGAAAGGAAACCAGGGAGGAGGGGGAGGCTGTAACTTAAATCGAGTCACTTACTGGCTGCACCTGATTGTACACTTCAGAAAGTAAGTTGGTTCTATAGCGTTTGGGAGATAGAAAGGACATTAGAGAGTATCTAATCCAATTCCTTTCATTTTCCAGATGAAGAAAAATGAGGCCTAGAAAAACTTAAGTGACTTATCCAAGGTCACACTTCCTTCAGGTCTTGGCTAAAATCCTACTTTCTTCAAAAAGCTTCCTCCAACCTCCCCTTAATGCTAGTCTTTTCCCCCTGTTACCCCTAATTTACCGTGTGTGTGTGTGTGTGTGTGTGTGTGTGTGTGTATCTTATCTGTAAATAGGTATTTTGCATGTTGTCCCCCCCCAATAGATTATAAACTCCCTGAGAGCAGGGATTGAGGTTTTCCTCCCCTAACTTTGTATTTCCTGTATATGGCACAGGATCTGGTACCCAGAAGGCATCTAATAAATGTTTGTTGACTATGATCCAGAAAGAAGGGAATTTCAAGGAATAAGGGCACAAACAATGGGATATTTCCTAGGGAAAATTTATATTCCTTGACTTCTCCATGATGAGAAACCAGGTGCCCATGATGAAAAAGTCAGGAGAAACAGAGGGGCGGAGGACATGACAAGATGCCGCCTTGTACTCCTTTAGAAACTCTGCATGTTGCAATGGCACAGCAAGTTTTGTGCAAACACGTCCTTCTTCCTTGAAAATAGATCATGCCCTAATACCATGTACATTTCAAGGCCTTTGCCCAATGTAGGAACTGACCCAGTTTCTTTCACTATTGCAGGCTGAAATCTAAGCTTTGAAGTTACTGCAGGACTCTATTGTATGTGGACACAAAGTTAATACTGTAAATTGTAAACATCTCTAATAAACAGAAGCACTTCTCATTGTCCATTAATTAAATGGAGATGGGAATATTTTAAGAGAATCCTTTCTGTAGGATGCCCCAGGGCACAAAATACTGACAATGGAGTCAGAGGATTTGGGTTCAAACCCCAGTTGACTTGAGACAAGTCACTTAGCCTCCACGGGCCTCAGTTTCAGCATTTACATAATAATAGTGAACATTTACATAGCACCTACTATGTTCTGGGCACTATGCTAAATACCTTTTACAGTTATGATCTCATCTGATTCTGATAACCTTGGGAGGGGAGTGTTGTTATTATCCCCCATTTTACAGTTGAGGAAACTGAGGCACACAGAAGTTCAGCGACTTGTCCTGGGTCATACAGCTAATAAGTTCCTGAAGCCAAATTTGAAGTCAGGTCTTTCTGAGGTCAGTCCCAGTGCTCTACTATGCTCGTGGCTGCCTGTAATGAGGGGACCGGACGAGATAGCCTCTGAGGACCTCTGCATCTCTGCCCTCGACTGAAATGGGAGTCAGGGGTGCTGTGGTAGACTGTGGTCAACTGATGTCCTCTCTCTTTCTTTCAATTTCTCTGCTTCCGATAAAGAAACTATGTCTTACTGCTTATTTACAAGAACAAGAAAAGATACTGTCTGCTCATTTGTAAGGAAATAAATTAGGTTTAGTAACTCACTTTTTATAAAGTAGCTGTGTGAAATCCTCAAATGAAAAGGGCTTCTGAAATACAAAGTAAAATCATCATTTCTGCATTGGTATTTGTTAATCTATTTTAAGTAATAATAAAAAAATGAATTCATCTCCTGTTCAATGCCACTCTCAATCAGATTAAACATACCAAAGAATCCAATGGCTGGCTCAGTCTGGATTTTCTCCCTCACTCTCCCCCAAATGCCTACAGTATAAAGGCCAAACTCGTTGGCTGGGTGTTCAAGGCAACCCCTGCCCGCCCCCCCCCCCCAACAGCACCCCTCCTCCATCTTTACGTGATCCTCCACTACTCAATACAAAAATCTAAAACTTCAAGCAGGAATTCCTGTTCAAATTAGTCACTGGCTTAGCTAGACCCTTGCTATCTGTCATAAATGGTGAAGCAAAGAGGGTCAATTTCAATCCCAATCTAGGCAGTCCTAGAATAGATTTCTTATTGTGAGATAAGATTTTTTTCATAGCTATTTAGGTATAATCTTTACAGAACTTCTGAGGAAGCCTTTAAGAAAGTTATCAGACAAAGGATTTTATAATCTTGGATTAAGAATTTTGCTATCGTTTAATTTTCGATCCAGACTCATCCTTTCATTGGGGTAAGGGATTCCTGGTGAGAAAATTCCCTCTCCCATTGCATACCTGCCCCTGTTCTGCAAATTATAGCTTTAGAGAGCTGCTGGTTAGCTGAATGGAGAAGCAGCCTGCCCAGGGTCCCACCACCAGAAACTAGCAAAGGCTCTACTTCAACTCACATCTCCTTAAGAAATTCTAAGGCAGGCTCTCAAGCTCATTTATTTACTGGGGGAAAACAAACAAACAAACAAACAAACAAATGAAATTGCATATAGCTCCAGCTTTTAGTAGCTCTAAAGAGAAACAAACCTGTTATCCTCTGGGAAGGACAATGAGTCTGCAGTGCAAAAAGTAGACCTAGGATGAAGTACTGATGTTGCAAGGGCTCTCTCGCTTCTTCTGATCAGCTAACACACTCTAAGCAAACCACGTAAACTTGGAGTCTTCTAGTCACCTTCTCTGAGCCTGTAACATTGATTTATAGCTCACTGTTGGCTTATAAATACATGAGGGACTTGGCTGCAGCTACCCTTTCACACTGACTGTCTCCAGACTCCCAGAAAGCCAGAACTCCCTGATGGGACAAATGTAACAATGAGTAATTCATTTATCTCATACATTTCCTCTAAGGAATACAAAGTATTTTTATACATCTTGATGCTGGGAGGCCCAACTGGTGACTTCTCCATTCCATGGCTTTTCAAGGCTGGGTGAGAACATATGTGAGATAACAGTCAACAATAGAGTAACAATTTTACTGATGATGAACTGAGATTGTTGCTGAAGAAAGCACAATGTTCTTCCAACAGGGAGGACAAGTCAGGGAGGGAAAAACCAAATTGCTACATATTTACCTCAAGTCCCTCAGCATCTTTCCTCTGAATTATTGTTTCCTACTTCTTGTCTCCCCCTTCTCCAAGCCATCTACCACATGACCAAAATTAATCTTCCAAAGCTATGAGGGCGGCTTGCCTGCTCAAGGATCATCAATGGCTCTCTATTGCCTCTGGGACAAACCACAAATTCCTTCAGCCTGGCATTTACAGCCCTTCACAGTCTAACTCTAACCTATTTTACTTTATTCACCTTCACACATTTTCCATTCTACCAAACTGACCTACTAGCTGGTCCCTCAAACTCCGCATTCTTTCTCCCAGTTCTTTATCTTTATAGATCACAACCAAAATTCACTCCCTCCATTTTCATTTCTTACAATCCTTTGATTTTCTCAAGGCTCAGCTCAAGGGTCACCTCTTAGAGGAGTCTTGATCCCCTGCCTTATCTGTTAGGGAACTACAAGGAAGGAGTAAGTCCTGTCAATAAATTGTCCCCACGATAGAATGGAAGCTTGAGGGTAGGGACTGGATTTCGTTTTTTTTTCCTTTGTATCCTGGGCATCTTGAACAATACATCTTGCTCATAGCAAGCATTTAGGGAAAGGAAGGGGAATCCACGTTTATGTGGTGCCTACTATGTGCCAGGCATTATGCTAAGTGCTATACAACTATTACCTCTTTTGAGCCTTTAATAAAAGTTTGTTAAATTGAACTGAATTGAACTGGACTTTCTCAAAGTACTTCTGGCAAGACAATTCCTTTTAAGAGCTCTGGGTAGACCGTGGCCGTGAATGTTGGGAAAGCCATTCCTTCCCCTTTGCCCAACTGGCCACAGAGAGAGAAAGCTGAAAAGCAGCCCATTACAGATGATTTTCTTAGGGAAGGAAGGTTGGCTTGGCTGGCAAGATTGGGGGAGGAGGGGCAATGATATTATCATGGAGACCTGAGAACTCCTGGCTAGGGGGAAGATAGAGCCAGGCTGACTCTGTTGCTATGGTTTATTGCCAAAGCTCCCAACAGAGATTGCTTCTGACTGATCAAGCCAGTCCCACACCAGCCTGAAGAACCAGTTCTGGAAGATCCCTTCTGAGTAATGTTTAAGACAACAAAACCACCTGGAAAAAGCCGGCATGAATAATGGCTCTTGGAGGCAGGGCCAAACCACCTTAACCACCCCCATTTCCCACGTAATGTAATGACAGGGAAGAATGAGAACTGGAATTCATTGGTGAGGAAATTCCCTCTACCAATACAGATGGGGATCTTCTCTGCAATTTATTTTCTCAACTGCATGCAGACTTGCCCAGGGTCACACTGTCACTACATGTCAAAGGCAGGGCTTGAACTCGGGTCTTTCTGGGTTTAAGGCCAACTCTCTATCCATCATGCTGCCCTGCCTCTCAATAGAAGAAAAGCTGACATTTACATATGATTTTAAAGTGGTAAGTGCTATTATCTCCATTTTACAGGTGAAAAAACTGAGGTGCAGGGAGATCAAGTGACTTCCCAAGGGTCATGTAGTATATAATCCCTGTGTAAGGTAGGACTCAAAGTCTGGGGCACCACAGAAAAAGTCCATGAATCAAATAATGCCATGCTATCATCTTATTTCAGATGATATCAGTGTTTCTCAAAACTACACTGTGTGAGTATACTTTCTTTCTTTCTTTCTTTTTTTTTTTTTTGGCTAGGCAATGGGGTTAAGTGACTTACCCAGGGTCACACAGCTAGTAAGTGTTATGTGTCTGAGGCTGGATTTGAACTTAGGTCCTCCTGAATCCAGGGCCAGTGCTCTATCCACTGCACCACCTAGCTGCCCCCTTGAGTATACTTTATGTCAGGCCACTACCCACATGACAAATCAAATTTAGCTCCAGAGACTGCATTCCCACTTCCACCCTTCTGCCACTTTTCATTCAGGATGGTGATACCAGAAGTCATCACTGCAGGCACCCCCAAACCCCCAAAACGAAACAAAACACAGATACTCTGACACACACATGCTCTCTCTCTGTCTTTCTGTCTCTCATATTGCTCCCTGTCCTCTCCCAGAACATAAGCTGCTTGAGGGCAGGGGCTTAACTATTTTTATCACTATGTCCCCAGTACCTAGCATAAGACCTGTCATGTAATTAGTGCTTAAAGAACATGTGTTGGGGCAGCTAGGTGGCACAGTGGATAGAGCATCGGCCCTGAAGTCAGGAGGACCTGAGTTCACATCTGGCCTCAGACCAAACACTTGACACTTACTAGCTGTGTGACCCTTGGCAAGTCACTTAACCCCAATTGTCTCAAAAAAAAAAAAAAAAAAAAACATGTGTTGACCAATACGAATTCCCCAAATTCTCTAATTAGATTAGGCAGTCTATCCAGCAAAAATGGAACAAAATAAAAACCCAGAATCCACCCAGGAATTACTAAGACAGCAAGGTCTTAGGAGGTCCATTTGGTATCTGGGCAGAACTCTCAAGCACAGAAGGTCCAAGTGTTCACTGGCAATGGCAGAAGGGCAGGCAAGGGCCAAATGCCACCCTGGGGCATGAGGCAAGGCACAGGGTGAGGAAGGAGTAAGACTAGGTCTATTAAACCAGGGCAGTGAAGTGAGAAGCTGGATAGGCAACCTCCAGGGAAGGTATGTGGGTAGGGCAAGCAGCAAGATGGGGAGTGGAGAGGAGAGGGCCTCCTACCAGGCCAGAGAAGGAAGGAAGTTAAGATCAAAGCATTGAGGAAGCAATCAGACTAGGAATGATGTGTACCATTCTTTTTCTTTTTGAAGGATTAATAAAATACGAAACAAGGAGACAAAGGAAAGTTAGATATGAGAAAAATGAACGGAAACTTAGAATGAGAGGCTGTTTTTCTTCAAGTTGATGTCTGGGTCCTGACAGAGACCTGTCCTCCTACTTGCTGGATCACAGCTTCTTCCCGGCATCCCCCACCCCCAAACCTCATTTTTAGAGCAAGGGCCAGAGTTAAGATGAAAACCAGTGACTTCCTCCTCCTCCTCCCAATCCAAAAATAGGAGTCCTATATACTAAGTTTAAACTCTCAGTGTTCAAGTCTCAAAGTATAAGACAGGGCAATAAGCATTTATTAAGTACTTACTACATGTTTGCCACTGTGCTAGGCACAACAGAGGCAAGACTATATATGGTGAATAAAAATGGAATTCTCTCCCACCTTTGGCCCAAGGCCAGCTCTGTGAAGGGGGGTACAGACAGACCTTTATCCCATAAATGAATGATACCTAGCTTAGATATCACTTGATATACTCTTCATGAGTATGGAGAGGTCAGGTATGATGGCTGCCCAGTTGTGAAGGGACTTGGGGCAGGGAGGACAATGAGAACAAAGCTGATGGAATTTTGCCAGTGGATTTCCAGCTACTCCCTCCCATACAGGGTTTTTCGAAGAAGTACATTCTGATCTCCTCAAAGAAATACATGTGGGTGGGGAGAAATTTCTTAGGTTTATTTTCACACCAGTCTTAAAGGTAGAACTACATTATGAAGGCTGGTGTCAGGGGGTAGAAGAGTGAGAAATGAAACTCTTATTAACTAGGTAAATACATCTGGCCAAATCTAAGTACCCAGGCATTTTACAGTGCAAGGAGTTCTTACTGTATTTATAGGCATATATTTATGTTGTTATTATGTTATTATATAATAATGGTTAAGATTTACACAGCACCTACTGTGTGCCAGGCACTGTGCTCAGCACTTTACAATTATCTCATTTTATCTTCACAATAACCCTGGGAAGTAGGTGCTTTTATTATTCCCATTTTACAGATGAGGAAACTAAGGCAACAGAGGTGAGGTGACTTTTCCAGGGTCAAACGGCTAGAGAGTGTCTGAAGGATTAGATTTTTATTTGAATCGTACTTTTTAAGGAGTTTCTACCTCCTATTTCCAGCCTCATTATACATCATTCCCTTCCAAGGACCTATGCATTTTTTAGTCCAATTAAACTGGCGTTCCTGCTGTTCCTCATAACCTTTGGATGACTCCCTCCTCACCTTTGTCTCTTGACAATCTCTGGCTTGATTCAGACTCAGCTCAAACTTCTGCAGGAGACCTTTCCTGCCACACCCCTGAAGGTTAGCCTGTATGTTTTGTACATTCCTATATATGTACATACAGTGCAACTTAGGTGACACAGTCCAGGCCTGAGCAGGAAGACTCATCTTCATGAGTTCAAATCTGGCCTGAGATACTTACTGGTTGTAAGACCCTAGGTAAGTCACTTAACCTTGTTTGACTCAGTTTCCTCAACTGTAAAATGAGCTAGAGAAGGAAATGGCAAACCACTCCAGTATCTCTGCCAAGAAAACCCCAAACAGGGTTACAAAGAGTTGTACATAACTGAAGATGACTGAACTGAATATATGTACATGTTGTCTGTACCATTAGCATGTAGACTCTTTGAATGAATAGAACATTGACATTGTAAAACAAGCAAACAGTTCTGAAGGACTTAAGAACTCTGAAGACAATGATCAATCACAACTCCAGAAAAGGCTCTTTAGGCTGGGGGTTTGGGGTAGGGGTTGAGGGGGAAGTGGGAGGGAGGAAAAAAGTTTGATTTTTTTAAAAAGAAAATTTAATTAAAAAAAAAAAACAAACCATGAGGCAAAGAAAGAATGGAAGCTCATTGAGGGCATTTTACTTTCAGTCTTGGGATCCCCAGTGCCTGGGACCTAGTAAATGTTTAATAAAAGCTTATTGGATTGGCTTAGATTCTTATCTCTAATACTGGTAGAGCACCACAGGTTTACAGCTGGAAGAGACCTTAGACATCATCTAGTACTAGCCCCCTCGTTTTGCAGATGGTGAAACTGAGGCCAAGAGAAAAAGTGACTTGCAGAAGGTTATACGGGTAGTAAGCAGCTGAACTGGGATGCTACTCCCACTCCCAATCCAGTGTTCTTTGAACTGTACCAAAATAAAGTCCGGAGATACCTACTCTAATCTCTACCGCTCATGGATAAACTATTATCTTGCAGTTTCTGGGAGATTTTAATGCTGCTTGCACCAAGAATTTTTTTTTCCCTGCTGAGACTAGTTATCCTTCCCACTAACTCTAAAATAACAAATGTTTCCTTTGGTTCTGGATCACAAGGAACTGTGGCCAACTAGTTACAAATAGCACTTTATTCAAGGCTTGTCCTTGGATCTCGCTACCTCTGATTGCTGGGGAACAGCACACAATGTCGATCAAAAAACCTGACTGCTTGTGGAGTTCAAGGGAGATGACCTTCTCTTCTTTTTGATAGAGAGGAGAGGGA